CATCCCTGACACGACCACCAAGAGGCACTGCGCAGGCACAACTGGGAGAAGAAGGTGGAGCAAAAGACTTCTTGGAAAAGGACCGCGTTACAAATACATATGAATATGAATAGGCGCTTAATGAATAGGCAATATGTTACTGTGTAAAATCAAAGGAAATTGCTGTTTTAGGAGCGCACGTTTGTGGAGGAGAAATCCCCCGTGCGCCCACACGTGGAATAAACATAGCTACTTCACAGGTTGTGGAGTCGTCTTTCCGTGAGTCAGGAGGAACCGCCAATCGGGGGAACCCGAGGCGGCAGGCGCCGAGGTGAGAGCTGGGCAGGGCCGGCGGAGACACCGCGATGGATCCCGGCCACGGACCGCGGCGCTGCAAGCCCCCTTGGATGCGTGATAACGGTGCTGCACCAGCCCCGCCTGGCGGTGCGGGAATGGAGCCCTCACAGAAACCGGCGCAGCGCGGCAGCTCACGGGTAAGGCTTCACCTCCGCGGTTGTCAGGTGCTCCTCGCCCCGCTACCGGCTGGCACCCACTGCCCTGGGCCCGGTGGAGCCCCCGGTTGTGAATGCAAACCGGATGCCAAGCAGGTGGCAAAACGACGTTTATTAAAGGCAGAGGGGAAAACGCAGAGATGTGAATCAGGGTGTGCTTAACAGTTCCCACTTTAGGTACATAAAAAGTGAAACAATACAAAGGACATTCACCTGTGTCCATTTGAGCAGGACATTCTGCATCTGCCCTACCTTCTCCCAGAATTTAAAACAAGGAAAAGAAACAATTAAAATGCCTTTTTATCACCCTACACAACTGTAACTAGTGTCTATAAACAAAAAACAAAGGCTTTTTTAACATATGCTGCAGTAAGACAGTAAGGATCAAGTCACTGGAAGTCTTGCTGGATGTTCTCCTTGTTTGCTTCTCCATGCTGCTGCTTGATTTGTGAGATTTCATTTTCAAGCTGCACAATAGTTCGTTCAATCTCGTAATTTTTACTGACAAGAGACACCCATCTGGAAGGGAAAAAGAAATGAAAAAGCCCTTAAGTGTTACTTAACAGTCCTCTCCTTTAAAATCAAGGACAATTATTGCTCCAAAGCAAGCACAAAGACACCAAATAAACCAGCATTTTTCTCAGTATGTGATAAGCCTCAGTGGATATCAATGGTAGTTTGAACAACCCAATTGATTAAAAAGTCGGTTTTAACCCTGTTAAACCCTACTATGAAAAACTTATTTTACTAGACTCAAATGCACTAACTTCCAATATTTAGATAAAGAGGAGTTTAAGAATTTAGGCAGTTTCAAGCAGCTGATACGCCCTCCTTTGCACAGCTCTTGCTCATGGATTCATTCAACCACAGTAACCATGATACAGATTTGAATTACTAATAATTTCAAACTTTGTGCAAAGCAACAGCACTCACACACAGATCCCCAATGCTTTGTGCAGAAGCATCTCAAACAAAAGAAACACTTGTGGAAGGTTTAACAGAAAAACTGGAATATTGCGTCCAGTTCTGGGACCCTCAGTTCAAGAAGGACAGGAACTGCTGGAGAGAGTCCAGCGTAGGGCTACAAAGATGATGGAGGGAGGGGAGCATCTCCCTTATGAGGAGCGGCTGAGGGAGCTGGGGCTCTTTAGTTTGCAGAAGAGGAGACTGAGGGGAGACCTCATTCATGTTTATAAATATTTAAAGAGTGAGTGTCACGAGGATGGAGCCAGGCTCTTCTCGGTGACAAACAATGATAGGACAAGGGGTAATGGCCACAAGCTGGAACACAGGAGGTTCCACTTCAATTGGAGAAGAAACTTCTTCTCAGTGAGGGTGACAGAGCCCTGGCCCAGGCTGCCCAGAGAGGTTGTGGAGTCTCCTTCTCTGCAGACATTCAAAACCCGCCTGGACGCCTTCCTGTGTAACCTCATCTGGGTGTTCCTGCTCCGGCAGGGGGATTGGACTGGATGAGCTTTGGAGGTCCCTTCCAGTCCCTAACGCTCTGGGATTCTGTTCTGTGATTCTGTGAACTCCAGATACTCACGTAGATTCCATTTCCCGAAGCTTAGCCCCAGCCGTGAGCTGCATGTTCTTTCGTTGCCAGTTCAGATCTTGAATGTTTTTCCTGGGTAGAAAAAGACCTATGTATTTTTTTTGCCTCCTTTCTTTAAAATTTGTAATATCTGCTGCCAATTTCAAAATGCACCTAACCCCTAGGAGCACTACCAGAAAACACTTGTGTAGCCGTGGCTGTAACTACAACAGAGAGATGGACAAATCCCACTACAGGGCTGCACACAGAGCCCTGAAAAAAATTTAAAAAGACCCAAAACAAGAAAAAACAGTGACAGAAAACCCTCCACTCTACCAGACACAAAACTTCAAACATTCAAGCCCAGTGCTTCTGGACAAGTGCAGAACAATGTTTTGTACTCTCTGCAAAAAAAGCCAGAACAGCAAAGATGAATGGCTAATCTTTCACAAAATTCAGTAATCCCGTCAAGCACCTGAGAAGTGCAGAATACTTCAAACACGTTGGTCTCTAAGCAGTTCTTAGTTCACACCAGTGCTGGTATTCTGCTGTCCTGGCTGTGCCTTCAGCAGGGGCAGTTTTCTCTTAGTGTTATTACCGGGTCTGTCTGCCTATCACCGTGGCAGCAGCACATACACAAGCCATTGCACACTTTGGTGGTGGGAGGGGAAGGGTTCGCTTTTCTCCTAACTTCAGTATGAAAATATGAAAAAGAATAACTCACCTCAACTTCTGAAGCTCTTTCTGGGCTTGTTCTATCATATGAACCAGATGCCTGATAGCAGAATGCAAACAAAGCATTAGGAAAACACACAATGGCTACATCAGGCCCCTTTAACCTGCACTGAACTCTTCAGCATTAAGGACACAACAAACCACTTCACCACAAACACCAGATGGCTCCTTCTCAGTGCAGCCTCTGCCCTGCACTCCTGAAGGGAACACAACACCAAAACGCTCCAATCGTCGCTTTAAAACCCAAACCTTCAGTAATGACTATGGTCAGCCCTTGCCACCAGGCAGTGTCATAAAACCATATCCATCAGCTGATACCTTCCAGGTTGTTACAGTACACTTGTGCTATTCTGACTAGAACGCTACTGTAACATCTCCTGACCTTATCACCATCTCCTAATTTTAATACTAAAATTACCCATAAGCAGATTTTGTTCTCCTCATACAATGTCAGAGCACAAGCAGTTCTTTTTGCTTCCCGATGCACATGTGAGCTAACAGACCCTCTGCCTGCCTCCCTTTGGGCTAAACAACCCTTTGTCTTTTCTCAAAGATAAGTTTAACTTTCCTTTTATCCGCACCTCTACCTCTGGCTGCGCCAACCCTTCTCAGAAGTGGACGTTAATGTTGCTGGTGCTTCCTGCAGCCATTCTGTCTACAGCTTTTTTTGGCTTTTGCAACAGCTTTATTAATAATGTCTCCAGGCTGAGCAGGACCAGTAGCAAGCTGTTATTTCCACTGCTGAATTATTATTTTGCAGGCTGCCACTAGTCCCTTTAGTTATCCTCAATTAAAGCCCACGATCACCAACTGCTACCAACAACAACTCACAAAATTCAAGGTTGGGATGTATTGAAACACAGGCTATTTCTTGGTCACAGAGACAACTTCTTCTCTTTCCAGTCAGCCTCCTCTACTTCCACACACAGCTCTCTCAAGGGGCTCGATTATCCCAGGATTCATCCTAAAGATTCCCACTGGGCTCACACAGGAAAGCACGAGGAACAGACACCAAAGCACTTCAGCCAGGCTCAGCAGAGCAGATGGGAGCCTTACTCGTTGTACACCTTCCAGGCGTTGCAGCCGTGCTGCGACATCAGCTCCAAGTTCTCGATGCGGACGGCCTGGTGCTCCAGCTGCGCCATGGAGTTGTTCACGCACTCCTGCCACGCCGTGATGTCGTTCTTCTGGCCGGAGGATGGGGCTGGCAGCTCGTACCTGGAACACGGTGCCCGCCCCGCTCAGGGGGAGGCCCGGCAGACACCGAGGCC